CCCTCCCTTCCTCCTCCTCCCCTGCCTAAGTACACACATTTCGCCAGATTTCGCCTTTGTTCTTCGTTTCGTAGTACGTATCCCATTGAAAAGTTCGGTCCGTTGGCGGAAAAGCTATGCGAGTCGTTTTGCCTTACCTTTTTCATCCAGGATTCTGTCCGATCCTGTGCCGCGGCAGCGGCCGCAGCAGCACCACGTCGACGTCAACGCCAACACGGATGATGTAGAGTGGAGAGAACGTAATCGGTGATGCGGGGGGAACGGCGCGACAATCACCCTTGATTCAACCACTATCAGCAACCCTGTTGATAGAAGAACAGAATTAAAAGTTACGAGCCTAAAAAATCGAAAACGCGCAGGGAAGTATTTTGTGAAGAAATGAAGTCGCGCATTCTCTGATTGTAAAAGCACTCGAAACTACAGACTACATACGACCTTTATCGAAAAAAAAAAACAACTTGCAATTGACAGGAAGAAGGACAATCCTAAACGGGTATTTTAGGTTATGGATGCTCTGTTTTCGGTTTCGTTTTATTACTTTTTTGGACCTTTCCCGAGTTCGATTTCGATTCAAAAAATGCGTGAATTTTTGCTCAATTACGAACTTCAACAATTATAAAGGTAAGTCTGAAACTCGCCAAACCCGCTGAAGCTTAAAATCATACAGCGACGTCACAAATAAAATAAAACCAGATACTGAGATACTGTGACACCGCATGGCAACTGTATCAACCTACTGTATCTGCTCTCATAGAGAAACATTGCCTATCATCAGTCGAACAAGAGTTACGAAATAAGTTCATTTTTTTACGAAGTTATTCTAGTTACATTTAGCACCGGAGTTTACTGGTAGGGTTAGGTACAGGTTCGCCGATAAGATGTCCTACACTCCTAGCGTTTCAAATCCACTCACTTACTCTTTCAAGAGATTATTCTTGTTTCAGATATAACATGCACTCACACTCACAATTACAACCTCAAGCACTGGCGATTCAATTCAATTCTATTGTGGATAACAACAAATACGACGGCTCTACGCGCAACACCGGTATTGGCAGGTCAGCTGTCCCGAGACCGAGACTGCGCCGCCTCGCTTGGAGCCAGCGCCAGCAGGTGTCGCGAACATCGGACGGCGAAGAGCGAAATTCAAATTGGGAAACTAATTGACACCTGTCACGAAACATCGCATCGTCCTCGTATACTCGGCGGTGAGCACGGAACGTTGTACTCCGTGGTCCTCGGCGTCCTCGTTGGCGTCATTCCCGCCAACTTCTCCCTCATCATCGTCATGGCATAGACGGTAGAAGAAGACAGTCGCCCTCAACTTGCGTCCATCCCCACGGCTCCGACGACGTCCTCGCACCCCACCCAGGGGCCACGCGTCGTCGCGGGCACGCCCGCCCTCCACGTCGTCGTCGTCGTCGTCCTCGCCCCTCCCTCCTCCGGGCAGCAGGTGACGGCGCCCCCACCCGGCCGGGCGCGGCGAGACGAGGACGAGACGGCCGCCGCCAGAGATTAATGGTGCCGCAGGTCGCATTCATTTCACGCTGCACCCTTTGGGCCCTCCGGCTCCTCCGGCTCCCGGGGCGCGACCCTTCCTCCTCTGCGGGACGGGACACCCTCGCCTTCGGACCTCGGCCCTTCAGGACCACGGCCGGACCCCGGGGGGCTCAGGCCGCCGCGGTCCTCGCACCCTACGGGCTCTAATTCCCTTCGGGTCGGTGGCTCGTCTGGCCGGCCCTGTAATCGCTCGCGCGGGGGCGGCGCGGGGGCGGCGCGGGGGCAGCGCGGGGGCGGCGCAGGGGC